ACTAGTACCACCTACACATACATACACACACACACCACGTGCACATGTGCATGTGCCCATACACACTGGATTGACTGGGGGTGAGAATGTATCCAAGGTTAACCATAATCTCCACCTCTGGAGCTATTGGTATAGCTATTGGTACAGCTATAGCTATTGGTTCAATGGTGCTATGTAACCCAGACAGAAACAGAGTTCTCTCAAAATTGATAAATGAATGTGGAAAAGTCTCTTCCTTTGGGTTCATGAGATTTTGGGTTAGAGTTGAGAACTGTCATCTTTCTTGTTACACTGATGGCCCGTGTGAAAAATAAATCCAATACCAAAGGACAAAAGAGGTAAGAAGACAGGCATGGTAGATAGCTTACACCTACAATCCCAGCACTTTGGAAGGCCAAGGCAGATGAATTGCTTGAGCCCAGGAGTTTGTGACCAGATGGGCAACATAGGGAGACCTGTCTTTACAAAAAATTAAAAAATTAGCCAGTCCTGTGGCACACACCTGTAGTCTCAGCTACCTAGGAAGATGAGGTGGGAGAATCGCTTGAGCCCAGAAGTTTAAAGTTACAGCAAACTATTCTAACAGCTCTATGAACAAATTTCAATGACCCCTATATTTTTTTATAATTCTCTCCTCCCTTAACTAACTACTAGACCTTTCAAGTTTCCCAGAAATGGTGGATTGTCTGCAAGACAAAGGAGCTGAGATTCTGAAGGCCCCAGGGCAGACTTCCTGACCCCCCCCCCCCCCAAGATTCACCATCTCCCACAACCTGGCCTCAAAGCACTTAGCTTCTGGTTAGTTATACCATGACCTGATATACGCCCATCCTTTAAAAGCCCCAGATCTCTGATAGCCTTGGATTTCAGGCAGTTTTTTTCCCTTCTCCCAACAAGACATCTTTCATATTAAAAATTAAACATCTTTCATATTAAAAATATTTCATATTAAACTCCCAAGGAGCTGATACTACAGGCATACACTACCATGCCAGGCTAATTTTTCTATTTTTTGGAGAAATGGGGTCCAGCTCTTGCTCAGGCTGGTCTCAAACTCCCAACCTCAAGCAATCCTCCCACCTCAGCCTTCCCAAGTGGTAGGATTACAGGTGTGAGCCACTGTGCTTGGCCATCATCTCAAACCTTTTTAAAAAACTTTCAGTTTCCAGAGCTTTGGAATTTCAGATACATAGATTCAAAGATCACAACCTAAAAGTCATAATAATTATTTTACAAAATTTCAGATGTATTTGGCATCCCAGAGGTTCAATCTGTAATGGTAATGGCCAATTAGCACTTGGCCAAATATGTATTTAGTGCACATCAGGTTTCTCCAGCTTAAAAATCAACAGTCCTAACATATACATTCAGTGTAGAAAAGTTGGAAAATACAAAAAAAGAACTAAAAAAGAACTCACAATCCTTCTACCTAGAGATAACCACTATTAAATTTGGGATGTCTAAATTTTCAGACTCTATCCATTAATAAATTAGAATCAAAATGACTATAGTTTTAGTATGTATTTTTGTTTTCATCTTACTAGGGACATGGAATGCCCTCTCAACTTGAAGACTATTCTTTTTTTTTTTTTTTTTTTGAGACAGAGTCTTGCTTTGTCACCCTGGCTAGAGTGCGGTGGCGTCATCATAGCTCACTGCAACCTCAAGCTCCTGAGCTCAAGCAATCCTCCTGCCTCAGCCTCATGAGGGAAAAAAAAAAGCCAATTTTGATAATACAGATAAAAAATGAATCAAATATCTAGGTCCCAAACTTAAGAGAAAGGAAGGTTAGTGATGCCATTAACAGATGCAGAAACCATCAGAGAAGGTACAGATTTAGGACAACAGATGAATTCAGTTTGGTATATAAGACTTTGAAGTGTCAGCAAGTCACTGACTAGGAAATATTCAGCAGATAGTTAACGTCAGGATCTGAGAACTATTATAATAGAAAGACCACATGTGAAAGCATCTAGTACAAAACCTGGACCCCTATACCTCTGCTTCGTTCAGACCAATCATCTGCAGTTCTCCAACAGAGGCAGCTCTCTCCCAGCTCTGCCTCCAAACAAACTTTCCTATAAAGGCAGAGACATACTACTTCACCTCTGGTTAACTCCTAGTCATCTTTAAGAATGCTTAGGTGTCATTTTTCCAAACCCCACTTATTTCCCACCAGGAGGATGACACCTTGGTCTTAGTTCTCTCTCTCTTGCTCTCGCTCTCGCACTATACACACACACATACACACACAGTTTTTAGCATCATGCCTAAAATAGCAGGTATTTGAAAGACAAACCAAGGAACAGACTTGGCACGTCCTCAACAAGACTTGGAAGGCACTGTATCCTCTTAGAGGTGACCGCTAGAGAAATGAACTTGGATGAGATTTCCAAAGGAAAGAAAAGAAAACTAAGTGGTACTAAATATAGGTGATCATCATGAAACATCTTCATCTAGGGAGTAGTTCCCAAAAATGTTTCCTGACTTCTTTCGGTCATAAATACTTCGTCTGTAACACAGGGATCATTATTCCTACCTCATAGGTCACTGGGAGGATTAAATGAGATAGCATATATAAAGTACCTTATGTTTAACACTTAATTAAGGTTTCCTTCTTTTCCTCAACTCTACCTGAAAACATATTAGAGCATTATTTATTCTTTCTTTGCAACTTTAGCAACTGCTATACCCTGAAAAGCAACCCAGTCTAGAAAAATAATGGCTATTTGAGAAAGGGTAACTAGATTTATGATATGCTCCCCCTACAGCAGAGTTTCTCAATCTCAACATTAGTAACAATTTTGGCCAGAAAATCCTTTATTGAAGGGGCTGCCCTATGCACAGTAGGATGTTTAGCAGCATCCTTGAATTCTACCTATTAGGTACAGTAGCACTCCTCACCAAAAATGTTTCCAGACCTTGTGCAAATGTCCCCTGGAAGGCAAAATTTCCCCTGGTTGAGAACTACTGCCCTGGAGCTAACTGAAATTCTCACAGAACCCTAAATCCTTTCCCTGACATCTACAAATATATCTCATTAAATATACATCTCTGTGCCTGTTTCCCCATTGGTAAAATGGAGATAATTATACTGTCTACCTTATAGGCTGTTATGGAATTAAGTGATTTAAAATATGTAAGGTGCTGAAACAGTGCCTGGCACATACATATTTAAATATTAAGCATTATTATTTATCATTATATTTGAGGATACATAAGCAGAGAAAATCATATCTTGGGTGGCTGTGTAAAAGTAAGAACAGTAGAGTCAAATAATAAAATTGCATGTAGATGCCCTGGGTTCATACTTCTGTTCCTTAACTAGTTGTTTCCATTTGGGCTTCAAAATCCTCAGCCGTAAAATAGGAGTAATTCTTGCTTTCCTCCAATCACAGAGCTGTGCAACGAGATAATAAATAGGAAAGCACTGTGAAAATGGATCAGCATTATATATATTTATTTTGATTACAGAAAAACCTAAGGGGTGTATGTTTAGTAGGATAGCAGGGAAAAGTTGCATCTGTCTTCCAATTTGGTTGGGAAGCTTGGTGAAGGAGGTGCCTTTTAAGGAATATTCTAATAAAGGGCTGAGTAGGAAAAGCACATGCCTTGAACTCAGGTAAGTCTAATTCAAAAGCCCTTGCTGTTTTATTGTACACATAGTTTGAAAGCTTAAAATAAAAATATAATATCCTGACTTGTTTTTTTAAAAAGTTTATGTTCTTGGTTTAAGGTAAGCACAACTAACCGTTTGATGGTAGTAGGACTACATTAAAGGCATGGGGAGGGATTTAGTCACCCTCCATTCAAAACAGCCAGAACACACACCCAGGTCCTTAAGTGACCTATTCTTTTCAATTGTGAATGACTCATTCTTTCTGAGGAGAAGAGTGATGCTGGAAGAAACGGGATTTTTCTTGTATAATGAGAAGTGCCCCAATAGTTTCTTGAATCAGTGGATGTCTATTTTTAGACAGAAAAACCATTGTCTTCCAACGAACATTTCAAAATCATCAAAGACTGTTCATGCTGCACTTATTAGGAAGGAATACTTTAACAAACAACTTTTTATAAGTAAAAGTTGCAACATCAATCACATGTGAAGCAGGTGTTAGGAGCAGTACTATCTCCGCTCCTGCCAAAAAGTGCAAACAAAAAGGAAAAATCAACCTTTCCTATCCATTCAGCCAAATGCTGACCCTGCAAAGCCTCGGAGGTGGAGTCTGGGTCCCTGGTACAGGGCCTTCAAAGGTGCAAGCTTTCAGAACGTGTAAGAAAAGGTCAAGGTGTCCTTCTGCGACACTTCCCAAAAAATCCCCAAGAATTCTGTCTTTGCCCCAGGGTAAAACAAGCACTGGACCTCCTCCCTGTCATGCCCCAGGGAAGAGAAGGTGGCCGCGAAGGTGGCGGACTCTGCTCCGGTCGGGTCCTACCGGGTCGTACCAACCCAGCCGGGACAGGCTAGCACGTGGCGCCTGCTGCTTGACCTCAGCCGGCTCGGCCCCTGGGCCGGCCGCTCTGATTGGCCAATGGCTGCACGGGAGCAGGCGGCGACTCTGCCAGATTGAGAGAGCTCCAGGCAAGGGGTCGCGGCCTCGCGGGCAGATCCCTGAGCTGCAGGTCTTGCGTGTTGGCCCCACGTGGGTTGTGGGACACCACCCAGCGCCGGGGCCGAGCAACCCAACTTGGGCCCTGGCTTGCAGCAGGCGCCGTCACCCTCCTCCCACGTCCAGCAGCGCTCACCTCAGCGCTTGCGGCGCCTCCACCTTCAGCTTTTTGGGCTTCGGCTCCTCCTCAGCAGCTGCCATCTTCGCGCTCCCTCCCTACTTTGGCTCCACCGCCCAGGCCCGCCCCCCACTCTGGCCCCGCCCCCTCCTCACAGCACCGCCTCCTTCTCCCCAAATCCCTCCCCTCGCGACTCCGCCCATTTCGTGTCTCTTCCATCTACAACCATTGGCTCTACCCCTTGGCCCACACAGCTAATGCCCCACCCCTTTCCCAACCCCGCCTACCCACTGCGGGGGACCCCAGACTGAGTTAGGCTGCAGATTAACGCCTGAATCCAGGTTGTGCGAAGCCCACCATTCTTCTATATCCTTGGTGATCTAGAAGATTTATATCTTAAGTTTCAAGAGCCGTTTTTCCTCTCATTTAACGTCTTCCTGCTTATTTAATCTTTCTAACACCGTAGACCAAAGTCGGTGTCTTTGAAGCTGTTAAATCAGGCAAACTCCTGGGCACTCCAACTGCGGGGTCCTCACGGTCTTCTCTGCTGTCTCTGGTTTGGTCCGAGGGGACCCGGCGCCGAATCACTGACCTGCCCAGGTGTCGAGGTGAGTACGAGGGGCGGGAAGCCTGGGGACTGGGAACAGCTCGAAAATTGGGGAGTAGGCTGAATAACTAGGGCTCTAGACTCCAGCCTGGGCTCCAGGAGCGCCTCTGGTGCTATGGGCCAGGGCCGCGCTTCCCCACTCCCCCAGCCTTCCGGGCTTTCTTGCCAGCAGGGCCGGAAGGGAGCGGTGCACCTGCAGCCCAGTGTTTTCAGGCACCCAGGCCCAGGAGGTCAAGCTTGTTAGGCTTTCTTTCCTTACTCTGGCGAGGGGAAAAAGGTCTTGCCATCCGTAGTGAGAGCTAAAGTACCAATGACTGGAACCTAAGCCCAAGGCTTCCGCTCTGGAGGACAAAAACCCCTGACGGACCTGAGCGGACGTCCTATTAGAGGATGGCGCCTGGAAGAGCGTGGTGTGGGGAATACAGTGAGGAAGGTGTTACAGTTCTTCAGAAGAGGGGTGACAGGGATCTAAACTGTGGAGGTGGCAATGAGTATGGCAAAGTGATGACCGATGTAGCTTTGGTGGATGTCGCCTTTGATGGATTTGTTTGAGCCTACATGATTAAGAAGGTGGTGCCACTATAAAATTAGGAGCCCTGACTTGAGGAGGGGGAATTTTGTGGCGTTTATATTTATTGAATTTAAAACAGTGCTTTAAGTGGATGTGGTAGAAAGATTAAAAGAATAAAAAATAAAAACCTGAGAATTAAGCTGGAAAAACTTTAAAGATGAGAACCAAAACAGGTGAAGTTGCATATAAAAGGGCATTTGTTTTGTTTGGGGGAAAGTTGCCATTGGCATAAAATGCTGCAAGGGTCAAAGGAGGAAGTTGAAGTCTGAGAATAGGTCGTTGGATTTGGTAATTAAAAAGTCATTGAGCTATTCGAGAGCTGCTCTAGTAGAGTCAGTGACTGAGGAAAGACTAAGTGTAGACTTATACTTCATTCGGAGCATGAAGCAAGATTACTGAGAGTGGCAAGGTGGGGGAAAAAGGGTTTGGGTTTGTTTTAAAGAATACAAGACATGTTTGAGCGCAGGAAGCAAGTAACCAATGTATAATAATTAAGGTTTCAAGAAAGGAGAAATAAGATCCCAGAAGAGAAGGAAAGGAATGGGATCAAGATTACAAGTGAAAGGATTAATTTTGGGAAAAAAGAGGGAATTGAGACCATAGGAAAAGTGGAGTGAATGAGGTTAATGAAGAATTATCTGAAACTTACATATGTTTAGTAGGAAAGCTCTCTTTGCAGCAAGGCTAGTTTTTCTTACTGAATCTTTTGATTTTTGTTTCTAACATTCAACATAATATACTGTTAGAGTTCCTTGCTTTTTAAGTAGCTCAGTCTCAAATCGTGAGTACCAAATGGTATTTGTAGAGGAAGAGAGAATTTCTTCTCTCCTGTTACACAGAAAATAGAAGCCATCATCTTGCAGCCAAATATATAAACCTTCCCTTCTATTTGAAGAGGAAAAAATGTCTCCTTAAGGAAAGCAAACCGTTTCACCTAGTATCCCAATACCAGCCACTCCTGCCTTCTTAGGGTCCTCTTTCTTTCAGTTATTCCCTTGCGCACTCTTTCAGCTTTTCCTTTTCTATTCAAACCTTCCCTTCAGCATTGAAATATATTCTTCCTTTGCTTTAGGCACTACTTCATTTATTTTCCTGTCTTCTCATCCCCTTCACAGCTAGACTTCTTGAATCTACTCTACTTATCTCTATTTTTTTCATACTTCTTGCTGTTTATTTCTTAGTCCTCTGCAATGTCTCATTTCCAGCATTCCACTGTACTACCACTGAAACTATTTTTACCAAGCTCACCAATGTCCTCTATGTGTTAAATCGTGCATTCTCAGTGTGGACAAAAACTTCTTGTGAGGGTGAAAAAAAAAATCATACTCTTTTTGTGTATAAAGCCTACTTAACAATACATAAACAGACACTATTCTGTTGTATTAATATTGTATGGGGATATTAATTAGCTTGATTTAATTCCACATTTTATTCATAAATCATAATATCACTTTGTATCACTAAATATATACAACTATAATAATTTGATAATTTATAATTGAAAAAGTAAGAATTATTCTTCCAAAAAAATTTTATAGGAAAGGTGGAGGGAGGGGAGAGTAAAGTCTAAAAAGGCTCCTTAGCAGGCTGTGAGGAATAGAAAGTTGAGAAACACTGCTAAGTCAACAAATGTTTTCAGTTTTTCATATTGCTTGACCTCTTTGTGCCATTTAATAGTTTTTACTACTCCGTTCTTCTGGAAATACACTAACATGCTCTACATGCTCTAGTTACTAAAAACAACCCCCCTACTTGTTTGTTATGCCTCTTCAGCCACATCTCAGTCTTTTTTTAGGTCCACTTCCTTGACCCACCTGCTATTCAAACATTGGAGTTCTTCCCATAGACTGTCTACTTACTATGCACAGTCTTTCTTTTGTTTTAGTTCTCTTTATTTTATTTATTTATTTATTTATTTATTTATTTATTTATTTTTGAGACAGGGTCTCACTCTCTTGCCTGGGCTAGAGTTCCATGGCGTCAGCCTAGCTCACAGCAACCTCCAACTCCTGGGCTCAAGCGATCCTCCTGCCTCAGCCTCTCGGGTAGCTGGGACTACACACATGCGCCACTGTGGCCAGCTAATTTTTTCTATTTTTAGTTGTTTTTTTGTTTTTTTTTTTTTTTGAGACAGAGTCTCACTCTGTTGCCCAGGCTAGAGTGAGTGCTGTGGCGTCAGCCTAGCTCACAGCAACCTCAAACTCCTGGGCTCAAGCGATCCTTCTGTCTCAGCCTCCCAAGTAGCTGGGACTACAGGCATGAGCCACCATGCCCGGCTAATTTTTTTTTCTATATATATTAGTTGGCCAATTAGTTTCTTTCTATTTATAGCAGAGACGGGGTCTCGCTCTTGCTCAGGCTGGTTTCGAACTCCTGACCTCGAGCAATCCGACCGCCTCGGCCTCCCAGAGAGCTAGGATTACAGGCGTGAGCCACCGCGCCCGGCTATTTTTTAGTTGTTTTGGCTAATTTCTTTGTATTTATAGTAGAGATGGGGTCTCGCTCTTGCTCAGGCTGGTCTTGAACTCCTGAGCTCAAGCAGTCCTCCCACCACGACCTCCCAGAGTTCTAGGATTACAGGCTTGAGCCACCGTGCCCAGCCTTGTGACTCCTTTTTTTTTTTTTTTTTTTGAGACAGAGTCTCGCTTTGTTGCCTAGGCTAGAGTAAGTGCCATGGCATCAGCCTAGCTCACAGCAACCTCAAACTCCTGGGCTCAAGCAATCCTACTGCCTCAGCCTCCCGAGTGGCTGGGATTACAGGCATGTGCCACCATGCCTGGCTAATTTTTCTATATATGTTAGTTGGCCAATTAATTTCTTTCTATTTGTAGTAGAGACAGGGTCTCACTCTTGCTCAGGCTTGTTTCCAACACCTGACCTCGAGCAATCTGCCCACCTTGGCCTCCCAGAGTGCTAGGATTACAGGCATGAGCCACCAAGCCCCGCCTTGTTTTAGTTCTCTTTATAGTTCCAATTCCCATTAGCAAAAAATCTTGATTATTCACAAATCTGTCTCCAGCCTGATGTGTCTGCAGCACCACATGTGTATATACAATAGATGATTTGTTTTATTTTTTCTTCAATAGATTTATGGGATTCAAGTGGAGTTTTATTATATGGATATATTATACAGTGGTGAGGTCTGGGCTTTAGGTGTACCCATCACTTGAATAGTGTATGCTATACCAATAGGTAGCTTTTTTATCCTTCACTATCTTCCACCCTTCCCCATCCTTTGTCTGCAATGTCCATGTGCCACTCTGTATGACCATGCATACCCATAGCTTAGCTCCTACTTACAAGTGAGAACATGCAGTATTTGGTTTTTATTCCTGAGTTACTTCATTTAGGATAATGGCCTCCAGTTCCAATCAAGTTGCTACAAAAAAAAAAAAAAAAAAAAACCATTTCCTCTTTCTTATGGCTGAGTAGTATTCCATGGTGTGTGTATATACATTTTCTTTATCTAGTCCTCAATTGATAAACACTTAGGTTGACTCCCATATCTTTGGATTGTGAATTATGCTGCAGTAAACATACAGGTGCAGGTATCTTTTTGATATAATGATTTCTTTTCCTTTGCTGGATCAAATAGTAGATCTACTTTTAGTTCTTTGACAAATCTCCATACCAATTTCCGTAGAGGTGGTACTAATGTACATTCCCACCCACAGTGTGTAAGCATTCCCTTCTCACTACATCCATATCAATATCTATTTTTTTTTTTTTTGAGACAGAGTCTCGCTTTGTTGCCCAGGCTAGAGTGAGTGTCGAGGCGTTAGCCTCGCTCACAGCAACCTCAATCTCCTGGGCTCAAGGGATCCTCCTGCCTCAGCCTCCCGAGTAGCTGGGACTACAGGTATGCACCACCATGCCCGGCTAAGTTTTTCTATATATATTAGTAGGCCAATTAATTTCTTTCTATTTATAGTAGAGACGGGGTCTCGCTCTTGCTCAGACTGGTTTTGAACTCCTGACCTCGAGCAGTCTGCCCGCCTCGGCCTCCCGGAGTGCTAGGATTATAGGTGTGAGCCACCACGCCCGGCAATATCTATTATTTTTGACTTTTTAGTAATGGCCATTCTGATTGGAGTAAAATGGTATCTCATTGTGGTTTCAGTTTGCATTTCTCTGATAATTAGTGGTTTCTTCATGTTTGTTGGCCATTTGTATATCTTTTTTGAAAAATGTCAGTTCATGGCCTTTGTCCACTTTTTAATGGGGTTGTTTGTTTCTTGCTGAATTGTCTGAGTTCCTTTTAGTTCTAGATGTTATTCCTTTGTCAGAGGCATGATCTACAGATATATTCTCCCATTCTGTAAGTTGTCTGTTGACTCTGTTGATTATTTCTTTTGCCATGCAGGAACTTTTTAGTTTAAGGTCCATTTGTTTATATTTGTTTTGGGGGTCTTAGTCATAAATTCTTTGCC